GGGTGTGGGGAGGGTTTTGGCCGCCACGAGCATAGTCTATGCGGACCAACGAGATGCCGAGAGTGTTGAGGCCAGGTATTTGGGCCACATTCACGGGGGTTACCCTTGAGCCTAGTGGGTTGGCCGTGTTGCCGGGCTTGTTGAGCCCGAGAAAAAGAAGTCATTTGCTTGTGCCAACTTTGGATCCTTGCACACCTTGCCATTAACGAACACTGCATGAAATAGAAACATAAGTCACATTACACTATCAGGTGAGGTGAAGTATATGCATTGTTTTATGACACTACACTTGAAAATAAATAAAATAAAATAAAAGAATTTAGAAATTTTAGTACTTTCAAAAAAGAATATGTAAAATTTGCAGACTAATCCTATAGGTGAAACTATATGATGTTCGGTAATAACTAACAAATACATAAAAAAAGAAAAGTACCAAAAGAAAAAGGAGTAAGACAGTAATTAGATGGCTTTCTTTTATCAATGAAAAAATTGAAATAAAATAAATCAATAAAGCAAAAACACTAGTATAAGAGTTACCTTTGCTTGCATTATCTGCAACACAAAAATCTTGGAGGGGACTAGGATCAGATGCCAAGGCAAGAGAAGCCACCAAGGCAAAGAAGGAGAGGACAAGGAAAAAAGACTTCATATTTCCTCTCAAAAACAATATATGAATGATAAGATAAAGTTTAGGGTGATAAAAGAGGATGATGGTTTAGAGTTATGTGATGTGTTTCATAGTTATAAGGCATTGGAATGTGCGTAAAGAATCAATTTAGAAGAGCCATGGTAGAGTAGGATTGAATGAGTCTTTAATCTCATCTCCCTTTGAGGGCTAATTCAATACACGCAAGCGTGTGTTTTTAAAGCAAGACCATGTAAAACTCAATACATTATTTGTTTTCTTCAAACTAGATAAAATTTCTCTCTCTCTCTCTCTCCCTCTAAATATTATCCTCTCCCACGGCCGAATTTGTAAGTTGTAAGTCCTCAATTCAGACTTGGTATAATAAAGGCAACTAAGGATTAAATTTGACTAAACCAAGTCTTTCTCTTTCCTCGCTCGATCGTGGCTGAGCGGCGTGCCTTTTTTCCTACTTTGTTTCTCCCATTTGTCTCTTCTTTTCTTATACACCCTAGGAATACTTTTAAATTAAAACAAACAAATAGGGCCTATATATTATGATCCTGCTTGAGTATAACACTATATAACTAATCCCTCGGGCAAAATACCTTTTTAATTTAAATTTTTGGGATGTTAATTTATTTTAGGCATGTTGACAAACCTATTTAAATGTTCCTTTTCTTTGAAGTTGGTTAATAGGTTCTAGAGATTACATCCCTAAGTTTTAGCTTCTAAAAAAAATAATGAAAAATACAATAGGAGCTTTTTGCCCATGGGAGAAAATTCACAATATGCTCATGTGGGAGCAACAAATCGTTAGCATTAAAAAATATATAAAAATATTTGGGATAAAACTTTGTCAATGGATAAGATAGTGTTTGGATTAAGTAATAGAAGTAAATGGATTCAAACGCGTTATTTGAAATGGCCCAATGGCCTGCCCTTCCCCCAAAGACCTCTTCAACAACTAAGCATTAAAAATCCAATAATCGAAGACCCAACTTGAAGACCAAACACCCAGAGTCGCATTATAAATATGAACTCCTCTTGATCTAAATCTTCACATCTACAACTACTTCTTCTTAATTCAATTTCAAAGTTGTTTTAGATAGAGAAAATGAAGCTGTTTTTGGTCGTCTTCCTTTCTCTCACTGCCTCCCTCACCTATGCATCTGATCCGAGTCCCCTGCAAGACTTCTGTGTGGCTGACAATGCAAGCCAATGTGAGTGCCCTTACAAATTACGATAAGGAAATAGTTTATATGAGTAGGCTATCGTAATTGTAGTGATAAGGTTGCAATAGCCAACACCGTTTATTTTTAGTTGAATTGTATAGATTTGTTAATGTCTAATAAGACATGCAAAATCTATACTATTTTAATTAAAATAGATGGTGTAGAAATATGTAATCCTATTTACGCAAGTATGGTTGCCGCCTTACATATATAGCTCCGAAGAAGAATGACTTTTATATACTGAGACCCCTAATTTCATTATCGCTTTCATCGTTGAGTTGTCATATTAGTTTCCAAAAGCCATACCACCTTCTTTCATATTGGGGTTTACGGTTTCGTAGTTTTGAAATATGAGTTTTTCTAAGGTAATTTCCACTGATTTTTTCTGTTCATGCAGTGTTTGTGAATGGCAAGGTGTGCAAGGATCCACAGTTGGCACAAGCAAATGACTTCTTCTTTGCTGGGCTCGACAAGCCCGGCAACACGGCCAACGCACTAGGCTCGAGGGTTACCCAAGTTAACGTAGCACAGATAGCAGGCCTCAACACTCTTGGCATCTCCATGGTCCGCATAGACTACGCTCCTGGTGGTCAGAACCCTCCCCACACCCACCCTCGTGCCACCGAGATCTTAACGGTACTTGAAGGCTCCCTTTACGTCGGTTTTGTGACAAGCAATCCCGACAACCGCTTGATCACCAAGACACTTCAAAAGGGAGACGTGTTTGTTTTCCCTGAAGGCCTCATTCATTTCCAGCAAAATGTGGGGTACAAGAATGCGGTGGCCATTGCAGCCTTGAGCAGCCAGAATCCAGGGGTGATCACTATTGCTAATGCGGTTTTCGGATCGAAGCCGGCAATCAACAGTAATGTACTGGCTAAGGCATTCCAAGTTGATAACAAGGTGGTGAATCAACTCCAGTCTCAGTTCTGGATGGATAACAACTAGGGATTTATTGTGGTCCTGAAGCTTTGATATTCTTTCATCTGTGTCGAATTTTGTTTGAGGTGTACCATGCATCTCTTGTTTGCTTGTTTGTGATATCTTTGGTTTCTTTGTTATTCATTTGTTTGGAAAATTAATGTCTTCCTAATATTTTAATTTGAAGCTTTCATGATTTATTCAGCTACATAAGAGCCTTTTGCCTTCAATTCCTTTCTCATATACTCTTCTTCTTGTTTCAATGTTGTCACAAATTTGAATTTGCCAAATCCCAAAAGTAGCTGTAGAATTTAAACGAGAAAAATTAGAGAAGTCTAACAATCCATTACGGGCGGGAATCAGGTTAGATCAACCTGTTGACCTGGTGGATCCACGTTTTTTTATTTTTTTGGGTGAATAAGTGGGATATCGGCTCCTACCCATTTGATTAAGAAACCAAAAAGATGTTATATGAACATATCTTATACAATCTTTGGCAAGGAGACACTAGCAACATTAGATAAAATGAAAGGCGTAATAAAATATGGGGGACAAGAATACCACACCATTGCATCATTCATAGAAACCGCTACTTTGGCTAGGAGTCTGCAGTCATCGATCTCCCTATAAGTATGTTGAATGTTCCATTGTTGATCCGTAAAAGATGCAAGCTTGGATTTACAATTCTCCAAAATTATGTGCAATCTCTAAGAAGCCTTGCGACAATGATTCATAGAATCAACAAGAAGCTTTGAGTCACTCTCAATAAGCACTCTTCTCATTCTAATGAACTATGTTAAGGTCATTTGATTGACCCAAATTTTTAACTAAACACTCTTCTCATTCTAATGAACAATCCCAAAAACATATGAACGGTCAGTAAAGTAGATACTTTTCCCTTTAAAAGAGATACTTTTCAAACCGTTCATATGTTGTTTATATGCAGAATACTTTACTGAACATCCATCTTTAGGATGGACATTTGTGAGTCAACAGGCTGTATACTTTACCGAACGTCTATCTTTAGGATGGATATTTGCGAGTCAGCAGGCTCTTGCGCCTGTTTACTCTTCCAATAATTTCATACACACACATATTGGGTAAGTCACTGATGAAGTCGATCCCCTACCCATGTTCAGTAACATAAAAACTAAAATGCATCGAGTGGAAAAGAATATCCTTTGATGAGGAATATTTATGACATCAATGGAAAGAGATAAAATCGGGTAGTCTTGTTGGCACACCTGAAGCTATAGCTCCATTTTTGGCCAATAAATCAGCGACTTGATTGGCCTCACGATAGATGTATCTAAAGTTCCACCAGTAATCTTGAAGCAGCCAAATATAAATGTGATATTTCCATGGAACTATCACAAAATTTTGCATCGAACCAACCACAAGTTTGCAGTCACTCTCAATCTCAATGCTTCCCCTCTCCAAAGCCCAAAATTCAGCTGTATTATTTTCTTTTTTTGAAAAAATTATGAGAAATCCTGAACAGATCCTTTTTAATAGAATCCCAACTCAATTTGAAAAAATCAAATTAAAACTATCAGGGCCAAGAGCGCTTTCATTTCTCATGTCCCAAATGTTTTCTTTCAATTCATCCATAGCTACCTCACGAATAAGTAGTTGACTCTGTGAATTGGAGCATTGTGTGGTTCGCAAGAAGGCATGGGGAGTCTGATAAGGTTCCAGCATGTGAGCTTTAACTTCCTCTTCATTAGAAATTGAATTCTAATATCCATCTTTAACAACAATAACGCTGTCATTTCTCCTTGTCACATATGTAGATCGAACGGAAGAATTAGGTATTGGCATCACCATTGTTTTACTTAATATTCCATCCAGAATTTAAGCTGATTAGGATGTTCCTTTTCTTCGGCCTCCTGCATAAGAAGATTGCTCGGATTATTAGCAAGATTCCCATGTATAACAGATAATTCATCACACACTTTATTCAAATTAATCTTATAGGTAATATTGCCAAATAGATCTTTATTCAAATTTTTAAGATCCACCCTTAATCTTTTCAATTTGGACAAATCCTCCATGTTTTTTCAATTAGGTGACTGAAGGAGATATCACTCTTCCATGCGGAGACAAATCTAAAAGCTTAAAAAGAAATGAAGTCCCCAAGCAATAACCATGGCCCTGAAATGGAGTCCCCAAGTAAAAACCATTGCCCCTGTAATTTTTAGAGTAATTTATGTATAGAACCAAAATTTTAGGTGAAATATACTCTACTTATATGCAAATATTACAAACAAGATCAGCCTACCCACCTTTTTTATTTTTTCAAAATTGCCTTTTAGTCAACTAGAATTTTGATTTTCTTTTTTTTTTTTCGTTAATAGGGAAGCGTCTTAAAGCTTGGGGCACTGCCCTACTAATGTAAAAAAATAGAAATTTAAAATTCGGGTTAACCAGGGGCAATTTTAAAAAAAACTATAGAAAAGGTTGACCGAACTTTGCATTTTGTATTTCACTTAAAATTTTACGGTCCGAATGTAAATTACTCCAGTTTTTTAAGTACCTGATGTGCCGCCAAAGTGTTTTTCCTTGCTATGGTATGATGAAGCTACAAATACCTGCGACATGGACTTTGTATTAGAATTAAGTAGATGGCACTCCATTAATGGTTCGCTCATCAACACAAAGTATAGACACTTGGATTTTGATCCGGTTCCAAAGGCGAAGATTTCTTTTTTGGGAAAGTATATAATGAGACGATTTACGTTACAATTAATCTTGACCATTAGTTGTGAAATTGGGTGGCTCCATTTTTTTCATTGACCACGCTCAAAGTTTAAAAGAATTTTTTTCGAACTTCATGATATACCCAAGTTATCGTATTTCACATCGAATAGTTGTAAGTAATTGTGACCTCCCAATACCAAAAGTAAATGGTCTCATTGTATACAATCCCATCTATTTTTCCTCTTAAATGAGATAACTACAAATTTATCATAAAAACCTGAATTTACAACACTACACGTTCATTCGGGTTTCTAAGAGAAATAGTTACCAGATATTATTTTCTGTTACAGTCAATTTTCTATTACAATCAAGGTTAGAAAGAGTGGCTCGGGCCAGATGCTTGGCCTAGGCGCGAGCCCAAGTAACTTGGCCTCAATTGGGCTGAGTCTCGGACAAGGCCATAAAGTGTTCAAAAAATTAAAAATAATAATAAATTAAAAATAAAAAAATATCTTTGAAATAAAATTAAACAAAACACATCTAAACGAGGTTAAAAAAAATTGTGAAAAAATGGATTTCGACAAAATCAATTTGTGATGAAAGGTATTTTAGAAATAATTCAAAAAAAGATAATAAATATTCATGACCAAAACACTTTTCAATCTTTGCCAAAATAGTAGAGAACACAAAAAAATATTACTAATAAACTTCCTTTTTTAAAATTTTTATAATATTTTAATATCTTCTTTCAAGATCCCAAGTTAGACACCCAATTATGGGTTACTCATTTGGCAAGCCCAAGCTTCTTGGGAGAGTTTAAGCTAGCTCGTTCGAGTAATCAAACACTAATTACAGCATTCCCAGTTCCTCTACTTGGCCATGAATGTTCTATATGTGTGTATATATACACATATGACTTCATTTATTTTTTTTTCTTTTTCTATGGGATATCGAGCTTTGGATCTAACCCAACCCGACGGATCAGACCATAATATAGCATTATAAGAGGAGCCAAATTGATGAAACTCTAATGGAAATCTGTGATGTGCCCATCTCTCTCTCTCTCTTAAAGACGTTTACCT